TTAACGGAGATCCTATGAGAGAGCTCTGTACTGTTAAAAAGTCGAGAGTTATGGTGTTTATAGTCTGCCGTACATAATCATCCCTGTGAATATTTTGATTGATCCTGGTGGATTAAAGATGATCGCTTTGGAAATCCTGCCTGGGCAACAAGCTTACTTTACCCGTACCGGTGCTTTCCATACGAGCAGTAGGGTGGATCGACCCAAATGTGATTAAATTCAAAGCTTCGGCGGGCATTTGTAGCTTAATGGTAGAGCTGTACAAAAGCCTTCTATGCTGTGTAGGTTCGAATCCCACTGAGGCCACGAATTTTCACACAATTGAATCGACTGAATTATTCAAATCTGCCAACTCCTCCCCCACAATAATATTCTGATAGATGATGTAATACAAATATCGACCTCTCTGTGGAACTCTACCACTAATACAAACTCCCACTGATACAAACGGAAAGGCGACTTCGGGAAAGCAGCTGAGAAGAAGACGAAGCTGCAATCTCTAGAAGCAGAATTTTTTTCGCCTGGTGTTCTTGATTTTCTCTTAAACTCAGTTCCAAAGCCAACCTTTTATGTACATGGGTGATTGACGGCTAGAAAACATGAGAGTGAAGATACTGCGACTATTGACGAATCACTTGCAGGCAGATGGGCAATAATCGCGCCAATTACTACCATTACCAAAAAATAGGTGACCAACGAATTGTGACAATTATGTGGTGATATGGAACCCGTGAACTGTGAATACTACATCTCTTGGTTTCCAGCATCCTTACCTGTAGTGATTTTAGCTGAAGGATTTAAGTGATATTATGGTGGTCGCCCGAGTCTCTTCTAATTGGTCACAACTGCTGTCACTCAGTTATTTGCGAACAAAAGCTAAGCCTCTACGGAAAATACGAGCTTCCTTGATAAATTTTAAGTTAGGAAGATTTACGTGAGCGAAGTTAAGCGGATTCCAATAATTATTTCAATGAATGCAATGAAAATTTCTCTCAGCCGTGATCAGGCTAAAGTCAGGAGTCCGACCGTCGGACAGTCCTGGCATCGCTTTCTGTCAGATCTTGGGCGTTTGAAATCCCAGTCTGTCAAAAACGCGTTGCTCTTTTGACCTTGGTTCATCAAATTTAAATCAGGCCTTCCTGTCTACTTTGATTAAAAGGTATTTTCGCACTGTAGGGTTCTTTGATTGACATAAAAACACGTCTAAGGGGTTTGATTAGATGCTAATGATAACAATCTGTTGGGGCTGGATTGAGGCTGCATTTGGTATATTCATTTGTGACAGGTTTGTAGCCACGAATTTGCAATACGATATCGGAACTCGAAATGTCCTTTACGGCGAATTCGGTTCTCCTCTTTGGCACAAAATCGAGGTTTGACTACCTATTCAACAATTAGCGGAATATTCTGAAAAGCCACCAGATAATTCTTTTGTCATAGCCACGACAGCTCAGAAAGGAAGGCAGTTTCTACGCTCATCTTGTTCGCACAGTGAAACATTCTACCAGCACAATGATTTAGCTTAATTTAAAATCTGCTTTATCAAAGTGTTCACCTTATTCAATTCCATAGGTTTTCAAGCGTTGCGTGACAGCTACTGAAGTGTGCGTGGGTAACGCATCCCATATTTTTTTTACAATTAAGTTCAGAAAAAACGGTTTCTCGCCTACAAATTACGATCGCCGTTCTTTTGGCTATCTTTTTGACAACCTTGATAAGATCGATCCGGGTTTCTCGCATGCGTTAATTCAATTGACAAAGCTAAGTGCAACTACGATTTCAGCGGAAAATTCTATAATAACAAAATAGAGCTGGTCAAGCAGTAACTGTCCCCCGGTTAGTATAACTATGTCTGAATTGGGGGATGTGAATTTACGCAAATATTGTGCTGTGTTCGTTTGTCGCTGGCTATCATCACCCACCAATTGAGTGACGAAAAACAGGGAACAAACACCCGAAATTCGATTTATTCCCGAACAGTATGAACTGAATTCACGTTCGGCCCTTTACGAACATCCTGAGACGAGCAACTGACGAACTTTGAGCCACCTGAGCATTTGAAATTGTTTGTGGCGAGCCTTATCAGCCGTGAAATCAAACAATGCTTTGTGAGACTGAAATTCATGTTGAAGGAGTACATTAATACTGATACAAATTGTTGTGGAAAGGACGCTTCATACATCTCTGGCGGAAGGAACAGGACTACGAGGGGGATCTGTAAGAAAGCGTAGTGGACGCCATGTCTAAGACTTATTTTACGTGATCATCGAGAATGCGTCGCTATTCGCCTATCAGATGCTTCGGCGAGTACTGCCATCGACGAAATGCAATTCAGGAACAGTAAATACGATGGACTGAGGATTCCGTCAACTGAACAGAGCAGTGGTCCTCTCTTGAGAATATAAATTTATTTTGATTGCATTTGGATCTGTTACTGGCATGGCTTGCGTATAGCGCCTGAGTCCTAAAGGAGAGAATCGGTTGAATGCAGCAGCGTGGCGTTTAGTGGCAAGATGGCCTTGTGCAAGGAGTTGAAATTCGTGTTTTTTCCCAAGGAGCTTTTAGTGCTCAAGCATAGCTTACTCACTTTATGCTCAATTGCTCTTCTTGTTAAGCGAATACAGCGGTTAAAGCGGGATGATTCGAAAGAATTGCGACCTGCGCACGACCTAGAAGACTAAACAACGACAACGAAGCAATCTAACTGATGCAATGGCCGGATCATTACTGGGCTCAATTTTAATTAATAGAAACTCAATAGGAGATATAAGCTGATGGTAACTATTGCAGACATTGAGCTGATCAATCAAAGGATTAATTGGGGTAGGTTATGCATCAATCATTAGGTTTTAAAGTCAAGCGCAAGGTCTACATATCAATATCTTAGCTGGCTAAGTCTAACCGAAACCTTATGTGTAATGCTTATCTTAAACCTAACCTTTTATCCGTAAAATTAGAAGTCATTTCTCCGGACGCTAGCGCTACACTTCGTTAGTATGGGTGGTTCCTGTTCGCGTGGCATGCCAGGGGTCAGTAAAGGTGATAGTTACCAAATTCTAAAGCGAGAAGGTCAAGTCTCTTTTTAGCATCAAAAGGTTATACCTCAATTTGGATTCGCTTATCATTGTGGCCTAATCTTACTTGCACCCCATTCTAATTAACTAATGGCACATAAAAGAATTTTGGTTATTGGAAAGTCGCTTTTGTTACCCCGTAGTGCAAAAGTTGGCTAAAAATGGCCAAACAACTGCTAATCTTATAATTGTGGGACAGGATTATAAAAAAAAACAGATGGACAATGGGCATTTTCCAGTTATAGATTTCAACCTAAAATATGGGCAAAACACAATTCCCACAGGGGTGCTTTAGACTCGGAGAAGCATGGGACTTTCTTTATTCAAACCTGTGTATATTAGAAAGTAGCTGAATGGTGAGTGCTTTTAGTTGATGTCTACTCCTACTTATCATAGGCAATTCGACTATCCACAGAATTAATTGTTCAGTAATACAGGCTAAATCAGCATTTTTTGCAGACGTGAACATAGCTTTTGAAATCAAGTCAATCTTACCATTTTTAAAATAGAACTGGATGACCGTGAATACCTTCATGGGAAGCGACAGGGGGAACGGTGCCTACTGCCACAGGTGGCTTTGCGCTAGATTCTAAAGGGTTAAAGGTTTAGGGTTAAGGCAATGTTCACATTTGGTTAGAATTAGTGTTGAGGTAATGCTAATTTTTGGTTAAAGCCATGGAATGACGTACGACACTCAAATGTAGCACATGTTTACTTGTCATAAAGGAAATGAGTTATCACCGTGTCCAACCCCTCGCGGACTTCTGCCAATGGCCACACAGCAACTAGGACTTTCTATGTAATCCTAAGGCCAGTGATGGTAATTAGTAGCCTCAAAGATAGTAATTTTGACGACTGGCATATAAACATCCAATCAAACAGCTGACGCAAAGTTGACCACGTGAAAGCTGCATTGAATTAACCTGGCTATGAGAGGGAACAGGCTAGTTCAACTTCGCCTCAGACCACCCATCCAGGGACCTTGCAGGCACATGACACGAACAGTGGAAGAGTCATTTCTGACCGATTTACTGTCATCAGTCAGACTGCCCACCTGAAGTT